TGAGTCGCTCGTGAACATGGCCAGGGGCGGTAGACATGTATGGATCTCTTCGACCCATCGCAGGCGATTTCTTGCACCCAGCCCCCATGCGACCCCCAAAAGGTTTGGTTGTGTAGAACAGGAGAGAAACTCGGCGATGCTCCTCCAGAGGGCCATTCGGGCGCACCCCTATCAAGGATGCCTCCCCCACTCGTATATCCCCGAGTCGGGCCTCAAACTGGCTGGCCCGTCCAATGTTCCACCAGGTCGTGGGTTAGTGTCGGAGTGTATCGCCTTGTGTGTAATCTCCTCCGCCTCCTCCTTCTCCTCCTCCTCCTCGTCGTCCTCGTCCTCCTCAAGCTACGTGCGCAAAACCGTTGATTATGTGCAGGCTTCTCAGCAGCAGTAGGGGGCGGGCTCTCAGATGACAAGCTCGTCTTTGATGACGCTGTGCCTCCTCAAGCTACGTGCGCTCCTCTTCCTCCTCCTCGTCGACGATACTAGCCGGCATGAGTGAAGGTAAGGTGAACTATTCAGGGAAGCGGGTCGTCCACACCCGCTTTTGCGCCGTACCTGCTCTTCCCCCACGCCGTCTCCCGCACCGCCGTCTCGTGCTTGTGGGCCCTGGGCATCGTCTCCTTTCACTGTCCTTCTTCATCCCCTCGCCCCCTCATCCCCTTTCCCCCTCCAGCCCCTTTCCTCCGTCCCCGCGTTCCCCTCATCATCTCCGCCCCCCCTCGTCCCTCATCCCCTTTCCCCCTCAATCTCCTTTCCTATCCCCCTCCTTTGCCCCACTCGTCCTTCCCGCTCCCTTACCCATCCCTCCCGCCTCGCCTCCCGCCTCCACCCCCCCTCGCCCCCCTCTCCCCCCCCTGGTCTTTCCCTCCCTCCCTCGCTTGTCCCCCCGTTTCTCCACCCAGTTCTTGCGTTGAAATGGAAGATCTTCAGGTGCCCGTTAGCTCGGGCTTTGGGGCGGGAGGGTGTATTGCAGCCTCATTGGTGCATCCTGGTTTTCTTCTGGCCTCCTCCTCCTGCTCCTCATCCACCCGTCTTCTTTTTCATCCCCCTCTTCCCCCTGTGACCGCACTGAGGTCGAGCGGGGCGGCGCGTACGACTTCAGCTCGGACCTTTGGTGCGCTGCCAGCTACCCGCTGGCGGCCGCTGCTGCTGCGATCCTGCTCACCCCCCGTTCGTGAGTATGCGCGGTATGAAGGTCGCCGAACTTGCAACTAAAAGTGATCTTGCGGATGGGCATGCAGCTGTGGCTGCAAGGAGAACGAGGAGGAGGAGGAGGAGGAGGAGGCGAAGGAGGCAGAAGAATATGAGATGATTGGGGAGGGGTCGAAGCACGAATGGAGGTTGGAGTGGTGGAAGGGAGAAGGGAGGGAGTGGTGAAGAGGCAGAACAGTTCGGCAGAGGACCGGTTTCCCCTGTTCCACAGAACCTGTTTAACAGAGATCCAACTCAGCGGAGACCAGTTTTGCAGAGACTTGTTCAGCGGAGACTGACTCCCCAGAAACAGTTCTTCAGGCCAGGTTCTGCAGAAACGGCTCCACAGGTCCGCGTGGTGAGACTCGGTTCGTTCAGATCTGGCTCGTTCCACAGAGCCGGTTCCACAGAATTGGTTCCAGACCTTCCTGAGTTAAACGAGGAAAACGGATGTGCGAGGGAGCGGAGCAGGAGAAGCAGGAAAGGGACGAGGAGGGTCCTCAGAGAGCTCCACCTCGGGTGAAGCCTTCTGAGGAGCCTCCTCGTCCCCTGTATGGCCCGATGGATAAAGTTCCCATGCGTCCTTCGACCCATTTCAGCACACCCCTCACACGTTTCGTGCCCTTGGTTTGCTCCACCTACGGTCGCGGGCGGCCAAGAGGGGGTGATGACTAGGGGGGGGTGAATATCACGGCGTGGGCCATGATACTCCCCTGATTTAACGGCGCCTCTTCTTATTTCATTACGTCCCTGGCCCCCCCCTGGGCCGCGCACGTGCCGCCGGCCATGATTTGCACCCCCCCCTCTTGGACGCCCCCCTCTTGGCCGCCCCCGCTACGGCTCCAATTTGCCGCGCCCGCAAAGCGCCCCCTCCTTTCATGTCGGCACATGGCTCACATGTTTCTTGCCCCTCTCGCAGATCGCGCCCACTGGGGAGCCTCACCAAGGGCCCCAACGGGAAAGTTTGCATGCGTTGATTTCGGCACATCCCTCACACTCATCGTGACTTGTCCTTACTGTCGAGGTTTCCGTGTATACATACATATATATATATATATATATATACACACGCTCACGTTGAGTGGATCGGTACCGATTGTTCATTTGCATTGTCGTCGGCCCGATGCCATCATCGTGAGAAGCGAATGAAGCTACCAAAGGTTGGGTCTATCGCTGGGCTACTTGCTTGTTTCCTGGATTCGCGTGGGATGGGTGCGCTCTGTGTCCTGTGCTGGTTTAGAAGCAGGCGCGCGAAGTCCTGGTGGGTCGTCTTGGGGCCCTCGGGCCATTTCGGGTAACTCTGGGCCGCCTGGGGAGTTTTGGGGCGGTCTGGAGACCCTATGGCACCGTGTTGGGGCTCTCGTCTGTTGCTCGGAGTACTCCCAGGGCCACTCTCGAGGAGTCTTCGGGTCCTCTTGGGCCATCTTGGGCCTTGGGCCCTTCTTGAGTCGCCTGGGCCACCTCCTGAGCCCCTCTTGGGGCCCTCCAGGGTGCATTGCGGGCCATATTGGGGCGAACTTTGGGGCCTTGGGGTCTGAAGACCGAGGAGACGAGTGTGCTGGAATCGCATACAAGCCGTAAGGGAGATCATTGACCTTTTGCGTCTTCGGGGCCACTTGGGGATCATTTTCGGGCTCCCTGGGGCTGGGGAGCGTGTCCCCCCGTCTTGCGGCGATTTCGGGCCGCTTTTGGCGCGTCTTCAGGGTCTCTTCGGGACCTCTTGGGGCTTTATTGGGCCCTGTTGAGCTGTTTTGTGGGCTCTGAAGGCAGAGTGCCCCGAACTCGCACAATCATGACGCATATAAGTGACGTTTTCTTTTTCGGGGCCTCTCGGGGTCCCCGGGGCTTGGGCCGCGTGTTGGCCGTCATGGGGGTCTCTTCGAGCGGGACACCTGTGGGCTTTCTCGAGCTATGTTTGGCTGATTTGGGTACTCCCTCGGCGCCATCGACTCAGCCTTCCCAGTCCAAATTTGTGTCGGAACAGCTTTCTGCAAGCTTCGCAGCAGGGGATTTGCCCCCACCCTCCAACGTTGAATTCGGCGCGTCGAAGTGTGCGAGCTGGGGGGCGTTCAGCCAAGATCCCAGTGTGCTCGTAATTTTTGGGGGGCGCTTAATACAAGTGCCCAATGCACATTTCAACTTCGAAGAAGCCCCCAACGATGACAGATCGTCTAGAGCCACTTGGAGGCGTCGTGTCAGTTGCGACGAGACTCGTATAGGGGAATCGAGGTCCCCGGGCAACGGTGTGGTTGGCAGGGCCGTGGGTTCGCATCTGCCGAGACGGCGGCGTCGCTCGGCTGGCGGCGGCGCGTCTGCCAGCGTGTCCCTTTGTTGGCTCCTGGAGTGCATTTCGCATGGTCTATCCTATCAGCGCCCGAGGGGACCCCACAACCTGTCACGAAAAGGGGCCTTCTCCGTGGCAAACTTGTGGCCCCTCTTGGAGTTCTCTTGAGGCAGCCCAAGACCGCGCTGGAGGGCCCTAGAGGCCCCCGCGGCCGCCCCGAGAGGCCCCAACAGGGCCCAAGTGTGTTCTGAGGGAGCCTCGGAAGCGCGTCGAGAGAGCCCAACAACCAGTCAAGAAAGGAGGCCGTTTTCGTGACAGTCTGTTGGAACTGTCTGGGACCCTCTTGAGGCCCTCCGAGATCACGCTGGAGGGCCCTGGAGATCCCCGAGACATTTCGACAAGGACTCATTTCGTCAGCCTCCTAAGGTCCGTCGCCATCTTGGTTTAAGTCAGCCCTCCACGAGCTGCGCGGCCGGCGCAGCGGCCGACGCCCCAAGATGCCGAAAAAATGTTCGAGCCACGCATCCGATGTCGACATTGACTGCCTGTTCGTGACCATGGGCATCATCGGCGTGGATGTCCTGCTCGCGATGCATCTCAGCCACGCCGCGGAGTTCTTCAATGTAGTTGTGGCTGTGCTGTCCACCACTGCAGGCGCCCAGTGGCGCGCGTTTGCTCGGGGGTATCGAGCTGAGCTGGTCGCCGTCTGGCAGGCTGCGCGCGCCTGTGGGCATCGCGAGGCCCTGGCAGACACGGCAGCCCCGGCGCCGCCCGCCGCCCCGCGCGCCGCAGAGGCGGGTGGCCTGGCCTCTGGCGCTGGTTACAGGCGCCGCGGAGCCGCTGCCGCGAGACGCAGCCGGCCCCCCCAGCCTCCGGGCCAAGAGGCGGGCGCGAAGGCGAAGTGAAGTGGGCGGAGCAGCTTCGGGCCATCGCTGGTGCGGCCGCGGCCGCGGCGCATGACCTCGAGCGACTGGCGTCTGAGCACAATGTGGGCGCGCCCGACCTTCAAGACGCAGTGCCTGGCAGAGAGGCGTGGCGGGCCTTCCAGGGGCGCGCGTGGGCATGGCTGGCCTTTGCGAAGTGGCGCCGCGAGCAGCCGCCGCCCCCTTCTTCCCGCGACCAGCGCAGGTAGTGGGTTATTGTCTGTGGCGCGTCCGCCGCGGTCACGGACCATTTGTCACCCTTTCGTTCCGGGCTTCCGTTGCTTGGATGCGCTGGCGCCTGGGCATGCAAGCGCCTGGCCCGCGTGATCAGGCAGCTCTGGCGTTCGAAGATTAAGCCACTGAGCGGCGCGCGTTGAGCGGCGGGGGGGGGGGGTCCGCGCAGCAGGCCCCACCGAGATTGACGCCCTGAAGGTCTTGGAGGTGGTTGTCGTCGGCTGGGCCGCGTCGCGCCGCTTGGCGGACGCTGTTTTTGCGCGGTGTGCTCTTTGCGTGGCGTGGGGCTCCATGCGGTTTGATGTCGCAGTCCGCCTTTGCCCATCGTCGCTCGTCATTCGCACGTCATGCTACGTCATGGGTCGCACATCATGTCGCGCATCATGGTACGGCGCGGCAAGCCCAGGTTGAGCGGCAGCGCCAGGGCGTTCATTTCGCCGCGTGCAGCGCGTCGCCTGGCAGGCATCCTTGATGAAATGTGGTGGGTGAACAAGTTCTTCGACGCGCTGCAATTTCGTCGGGGTCGCGTCGTTTTCTGGCTGGTCGACGCCTCCGCGAGGGGCATGTCCTCCGAAGCCGCTCTGGAGCTCGAGCGAGCGATTCGCTGCTGTCGCGAGGGCGGTGATGCGCATGGCGCCGGGCGAGTTTGGCCGCGATTTCTCCGCGGCCACAGGCGTCGCGCGCAGCCAGTCGGCCGAGCGCTTCGCAGCGTGCTCGCCGCGCGCCACGATCCTGGACGCGATGGCGCACCACTGCAGCAGCGAGAGGCCGCCCATCGCCCCTTCTCAATTCGAACGACGGCCGCATGCCCGTGAAGTATCTGAGGGGGCGCAGGGTCATCCCGCCAGCGAGCGCGCGCCAGATGGCTCCGGGCATGGCCCAGGGCAGGGGAAACGCGTCGTCGCCGACAGCGAGCAGCGCCGCGCAGGTTGGCGCGGGCGCGCAGGTTGCCGCCGTCGGCGACGGAAGCGGCGACTTCGAGATGTTTGGCGAGGACGGCGTCGACGACGACGACGACGACGCGGGTGGTTTCGACGCGCGCGCCCCCCGTCTGGGCCCGTGACAACTGCCAGGTGGGCGGGGCGCGCGCGCGCGCGACTTGGCTTGGTGCGCCAGGCGTCTCGCGCGCAATTCCGCCCCGCCGTCAGGTGGCGCGCAGCTGGGGCCATGGATCTCCGACTTCGCAGCCGTGTCCGGTCGGCGCGAGAAGCGCTCGCCGCGCCTCGAGACGCTGGCGGCGCCGCCGCGAGACAAGGGCGCCTGCCGGCAGCAGCAGCGCAGACGGGTCATATCAAATTCTCAGTTGCGCCACTTGCGAGGAAGCGTCGGATGGGCTGCCGCCCGCCAGTCTGCAGGCTTCTGGCTAAGATCCGCGCTCGGATAAGCACCGCGGCGAACTCGAGCAGGGCGCGCGGCTCGCCCGAGCAGCGCCGCGGCGTGCTCGACCGAGCATTCGGAGGGCCAGAGCCCAGAGTTTGCCCCGCGGCGGTTTTTCATCAAGGCGCGCGTTCCGCAGGAGCTGCGGAAGACCATGGCGGGCGCCGATTTCGCGACCGTCGACTCCATCGCGGCGGCGTCCTCCGATGCCCTGGCCGATTTCACCGCCGTCCTGGGCGCCGCCGCGCTCGGGGCGGCAGGGCCAGAGAAGGCCGCGCCCCCGACCCTCCTCGCGGCCCTGCGGGGGAAGTGCAGCGCGCCAGCGTCCGCGCGGGACTCGCGGCGCTCGCGCCTGGAGGCAGGCGCGCTCTGCATCCTGAAGACGGGCTTCGGTGGCTACGACCGGGCGCGGACGCGCCTCAAGATGGCTCACCCAGACATCGCCCTCGCTGACTTCGCGGAGCCGAACGTGCGCCTCTGCGCGTGCGCTGCACGTCTCTACGTCGCCCGCGAGTGCATTCTGCCCCGCGGGCTGGCGGAGGTGCACTTGCGCTCGGACGCCATCGTCTCCAAGTCCGACATGGCGACCGCTCCCAAGGTGCCTCTGCGGATCTCTCAGGTCGACGAGCCAGCCTGGGCCTGCCTGGAGGAGGGCGCGCCTGACAGGATCTACGACGCTTTCTGGGTCGCCCTGGAAACCCTGGGCCATTGCAGCGCGCCCTTGTTCGCGAAGCGGGGCCTCGGTGGCGGGTGCTCCGACTTCGCGGGCGGGCCCTTGGGCTTCTTCGTCGAGCTCGAGGAGCGGGGGCGCGTGTTCCCCGGGACCCAGTCATTCCTGATCGCCTGCGAGACGTTCGCCTAGATGATGCGCGAGCGCCTGGCGGAGCAGCGCGAGCTGTGCCCCGCTGCCCCCCTGCCCTCGGAGGCGATGGACAACCGCGCGCGCCTGCGGGGCAAGGCTCGCCGGGCGGCGACGGAGGCTGCCCTCCGCGACGCGGGCGCGAGCGCAAGGGGCAGCGCGGCGGAGAAGCGGGCGCGCGAGGAGGGCCGCGACGGGGGCCGGTCGGACCGCGCCGCCAGGGGCACGAGCAGAGGCGCGCGCCGGCGCTTGCAGCGAGCGGCGGCCCGAGCACAGGCCGCGGGGCCCGCCGAGCCGCATGGGGCAGGCGAGTGCTCGCGCCGCGGAGGCGAGCGCTACGCGGCAGCGCCGGGCTCGCGCCCGCGCGCGTGAGAGACGGCGTGGAAGATCCCGCGCGCCATGGCAGTCAAGAGTGCGCGCATCTGCAGGCGCGTCAAAGACCAGTGAAAGTTCGACCGCGTCTGCTGGAAGCGCGGAGCGACCGACCGCGCGCGGGTCGACCGGCGCTTCCGCGGGCGTCGACCCGCCTCGCTCGGCCGAGTCGCCTCGGCGGCCGCGCGGCATGCGAGGGGGCGCGGGGGGGTCGGGGGCGACCCGAACGCGGCTGGAGGCGCGGTCTCAGGCCATGAAACGGGCGCGACGGACAGGTGCGACCCCTTCGCGGGTAGCGCGTGCCGCGCGCGCCAGCCCGCGCGACCTGGCGCCGCACTTCCGACCGACGCGATCTGCGTCGGAAGGGGCGCGCCTGGTGGATTGGAACGATCGGTGCTGCATATCCCGCGGCCAGTTCGCAGCTGCCCGTCGCGCCCAGGCGCGCCTGCGCGACTGTCCTGGCCTGGTGCGGAAGCTGCGGGGGCTGCGAGGCGCGCGGTCCTTATGCCGCTTCTCTCTTGACGAGATGCGTCATGCTGACGCGTTTATTCGGGGTCTCGACAGGGCTTTCGGCATCGCAGACCAGGTGTAATTTATGGGGCCAGCCTTCGCGCCGCCCATGCTCGAGCCGTCATTTGACATTGTCGCTCGCGGGCGCGAGCGGGCCCTAGGCGCGCCGGCGGCCGGGCCAGTGCGCAAGCTTCAGAGGAGAGGCCAGTTGTCGATTGCAGCCAGTGGCCAGGCGCGCCGATGGTTAGTTCCGCCGATCATCCCTGAGGAGGAGATGGAGCCAGGCACCGTCGTCAAGTGCGCGCTGAGACGGCAGCGCCCGTTCGGCCTCGGCGCCCCCGGCGGACAATCTGATCGGAGCGGTGGACATCCAGCGGGGGAGCTCAGAGGTGGCGTCGCGCCGTCGATCAGAGGCCGGGAGCGCATTGCAGGCGGGCAGGGAGGCGCTGAAATCCGAGAACCTAGATTTGACCGCGGAGATGCCACGCTCATGCATCCGCCGGCCGTTCCTGGAGTGCCGCTGTAAGCCGAAAGGGCGATTGCGAGCTCGGCGGGTTCGCCCACCTGGCCCTCCTCCGTGAGATGCAGCGTGCCGCGGGCGGCGTCGTTGCGCAGTGCTGCGACGAGTTTTCGCAGGGTTTGTCCAGTGTGGGGCGGGCCCACCTTTCGCGCTGGCAGCCAGCTTGCGACCCCGCAACGCTGGTAACCAGGGCTTGGGAAGTCAGGGGGCCGATCGAGACTGAGCTGGCCAAGTCCAGCGGCACGCGGCGCGCCGACGCGAATTGGGTGACACCCTGGGCGACAGAGGTCGGGGCGCATGCGCTGGGCCGATCTACAGGCACAAGGACGTGGCTCGACACGCAGGAACACCCGACAGGATTGCCATGGAGAGGTTCGGCGTGGCCCAGAAAAAGCCAGACTCGCGGAGTGGACTACGCCGCGCCCGCAGCCGAGGCCGCCTGCGCCACGGAGTGCGGGCGCTTGCCGCGAGATCCCCACGCCCCCAGTGCACCGCCGATGCGCCGTTGTCTTTGTGTTGGGCCTCCTCAAGGGGAGGCCGGCGTATTTCGCGATGATCGGCCGCTCTGCATAACAGCGGCCGCCGGGCTTCGATGGTGACTGACATCCTCGTGAAGCTGTTCCATTTGTTCCCATTTCAGCAACTGCGACGACGACTTCGGCTGCGCGGCGGACGCGCTGGCATCGGAGGAGATCGCTCTGACCGCAGATGCTCACACATGGCTCGGCATTGACTTTTCAACCAGTAGGTTGCAGGCAGGGCAGGACATCGACGCGCTGGGCGCGTCCAACTTTTTCGCGAGGGGGCGCCCGCGCGCGGCCGAGGCACGCGCGGCGGAGCTGACCTCGGCCATGGCGGACGCCCTGCGCGCCGACGCGCCCGAGCCGGGGCCGGCGGGGAAGCTCCGCGGCAAGCTCGGCGTCGCCGCGGACCACTACAGTTGGGCGTTTCGGCCAGTGCTCCCTGCGCGCCCTGTCCGAGCGGCAGAGAGCGAAGCCGCGGCCGGACTGGGCGCTCGGGCCGGCCCAGCAGCTTGCCTTCACGTCTGGCAGCGATTGCTGGCTGGAGATAACGGAGAAGATGGAGCGCTGTGTTCACGCGGCGCAGACAAGACAGTCGACGTCGCCATGCTCGCGGACGGCCGCTGCCCAGAGGCCGCCAAAAGAGCCGCGGCTCCTTTGGCCAGGCTGGGGTGGATTGGGCATGGGCGGGCGGCATTCTTCAAGCCGTCCGGCGAGGTCTTCGTGGGCTCCCACGACGTCGCGGCGCGGGCGGGGGAGTGGCTGCCCCGCAAAAACCAGATCACATGGTGGAGCTACGTTCGCGCTGCCAGTCGTGTTCGGCGTTCCGGAGCACCGCTGGCGTTTGCGCCGGGTGCTCTTCTTCGTTGATTCCGAGGCGGCCGAGGGGGCATCGATCAAGGGTTTTTTTCCAAGTCCGAGGACGTGTGTGAGATTGCCAGCCTGTTCTGGCACATGGCCGTCTGAGCAAACATCGCGGCGCCCGTCGACCACGTGTCCACGGGGGACAGTCCTGCCGATGGTCCGTCGCGCGGCGACGTGAGTGAGCTGACGGCCAGAGGCGCCATTCAAGCGTCCTCAGACCCAGGGCCGCGTGCAGGCGGGAATCTGCGACAATCATCGTCATGAGCTGAATTGAAGACAGCTGGCCGGCCGCGGCGCGCGCCGTTTGTTGTGCAGGGGCGCTGCCGCTGTCCGTCGGGGTCCGTCGCTGGCGGGCTTTTTTCCAGGTGACCTGCCGCATCCTGCGGCTGGGTCGGCGCGCGCCTGCCGGCGTCCGCGGCCGCGCCCGTGCCGCGGGGTGGCCGCGGCTGCCGCTGTCCGCTAGCAGCGCGGTCCCACGTGTGTCCTGCCGCTCGGTGTGCGCCGGGTTTTGGCACGGTTGCGGTGGGCCCGGGGTCATGTTCTCCCCTCCCTGGCTTTGCCGTGGCCGTCGCCGGCCTGTGCTTCGGGCGGGGGCGGGTTCGTCGCCCCCTCGCCCCGCTGCTGCCGCGGCAGATGCGTTCCCTGGGCAACGGTGTGGTTGCCAGGGGCCTGGGTTCGCATATGCCGCGGCGGCGGCGGCGTCGGTCGGCCGTGGCGGCGGCGGCGGCGCGTCTACCAGCGCGTTCCTTGTTGACTCTTGGACTCCCGCAGTGCATCTTGCATGCTCTACCCCATCAGTGCCCGAAGGGTACGTCAAGTGGACCCCACAGCCTGCCACGAGAAAAGGCATTTTTCGTGGCAAGCTGCTGGCCCTGTTGGAGCTCTCTTGCGGCGGCCCGAGACCGCGCTGGAGGGCCCAGAGGCCCCCGCGGCCGCCCCGAGGACCCCCTAGAAGGCTCAGTTGTGTTCCAAAAAAGCCCAAGACGCCATTCGAGCGAACCCAATACCCTGTCACGCAAAAAAGCCTTTTTCGTGCCAGGTTGGCGGCCTTTTTCTGGAACCCTCTTGAGGCCTTCGAGACCACGTTAGAGAGCCCTGAGCAGCTCCGAGACATCTCGCGAAGGACTCAACTCTTCAAGCTCCCGTCGCATTGGGTTCAAAGTCAGCTCTCCACGAGCGAGGCGTCCAGCGCAACGGCCGACGCCCCACGATGTTGAGCACATCTCCGCCCGCCCTGGCCCTTCTCGTGGGTCGGGCGGAGCCCGCCGTGCTGAAGTCGGTGAGCAAGGGCTCCCCCGAGGGCGCGAAGTTATTCGCGCTTCGCGCTTCGCGGTCCTCCTTCCTCCTCCCCCTCCTCCTCGTCCTCCTCTTCTCCCCCTTGGGGGGCGGCGCGAGAGCGCGAAGTTATTCGCGCTTCGCGCAGCGCGAAGCGCGAAGTTGGGAGCCCTAGGTGATTGTGTTTTTCCCTGCCCGGCTTTCCCCAGGCCAGCCTCAGCTGCACGCGCCCGCCCGCTGTCGCGCGCAGCAGTGGGGCCTGGCGCCGTCGTCGTCTTCATCGCCGTCGCTGGCCTCTACTTGGGGTGGGGGCGGGCTCATCACTCCCTCGCCCCCTCCCCCGCTGCTGCTGCGGCAGATGTTGGTATGAATTGAGCTATACAGTGAGTCGGAGTTTTGGCTTCTGGGCCACATGGTGCTGGGCCCCTTCGCAAACACTTCGAGACCACCCGCGTTACCTCCAGGGCCTCCTTAGGGTACTGAGGATGCGGCTCGGTACTTCTACGATGACTTGGTCGCCGAAGACAGCTCCAATCGGAAACGCACCCCGCAAGGCTGTCCCGCACGTTTCTCAGCCATTTTGGCTCAAGCCCTTTTGGCTCAAGCATTTTCGGTCGCATCCATCTGAGCGCGTCGCTGTCAGACCACCAGTGTCCTTCAGTTGTCGAGCAGAAGATGGAAGTCGATGGGAGCTGCCAGCTTCAGGCAATAGTCGACGCAGTGTCCCAGCACAGCGAGCTCCTGAAGCTGAACCTTTCCGTCACTGTCGCAGACCCCCTCCAGGAGGACTGCCCGTTGATCGCGTGCAGCAACGGGTTCACGACACTCACTGGTTACACCGTTGAGGAGGTCATGGGCCGCAATTGCCGCTTCCTGCTCAGCGGTGTGCCGGATCACGACATCGACGAGGACACGCGACTTCGGTGCCGCCTTTATGTTCGCACCACCAAGGGCTCTCCTGAGGATCCGGTCCCCGACGAGACGATAACTGAGTATCTGAAGACACAACCTTGGATGACTGCGCGCCCAGGCGAGATCATCTGTGTGCAGACCAACGCCATGAAATCTGGCGAGCTGTTCAGGAACATGTTCTACATGAAGCAGGTCGAGCTCAACGATCGGCCCTTCATCCTGGGCCTGCAGGCCAGGCTGCCAGAGGAGTGGCAGCAAAACGACGCGAACGAGGTGCAGTTGGCCTCCTTCTGCCACCAGGCGTTCGCGCGCCTCAGCGACAACATGCGCGCCGTCGAGGACGTCCTCAGCCGCAACTTCTGGTACTCGGCCTCCGCCCGGCGGCAGACCGGCCCCAAGTCCGTGAAGCCCGCGTTCGCGCTGCAGGCCGGTGTCGGCCTGGCGGTGCTGCACTCGGACCCCCCGACTGGCTTTGCCGCCCAGGTGCGGCGTGGGGCCGCTGCCGCCAGGGCCCTCGCCGCCAAAGAAGGCGACCTCGGCTTCGGCGACGCCGGCGCCGAGTGGAGCCGCTTCGTGTCGGACACCTCCACGGCCATGACGTCTGGCCTCGACGACATCGACGTGGACGAGGGCTCTCACCACCCACCAAACCACCCCAACCCAACCCGAAGGCCCAAATTTATCCTCGATTTCCAGTGGGGGGGGGGTCGGTGAACATCGAAAAAACACATGGAATCCGTACCCCCCCAACCCGAAATTCGGGTCAAATTCGGGCCTTCGGGTTGGGTTGGGGTGGTCTGGTAGGTAGTCAGGCTCCTGGGCGCGCCTCAGCACGCCCAGCAGCGAGGGCTCCGGGCGGCGGCCGCGGTCTGCGCCGCCGGCGCTCCACGAGGGCTTCGACGTGGCGAGCGTGCAGCCCTGGCCCGCGGGCCGCCTCGAGACGCTGGGGAAGATCGAGGATCGGCAAGCCACTCTCCTCCTCCTCCTCCTCCTCCTCCTCCTCCTCCTCCTCCTCCTCCTCCTCCTCCTCCTCCTCCTCCTCCTCCTCCTCCCCTCTCTCCCTCCTGCTCCTTTCCGTCCCCCTCCTCCCCCTCCCCCTCCTGATCGAGGACGCGAGCCGCAATCAGGGCAGCGTGTGCCTCGTGAGGACCGTCGACGAGGGGGTGCTGCTGGCCGTGAAGCGGATGCCCAACGCCTGGATCCGAGACTCGCCGCAGGCCTTCGAGGAGGCGCACCCGGGCGAGATCGAGCAGCCGTGGAGCGACATCGGCTGCAACTGTTTCCTCAACAGCGTGGGCTACCCATACTGCATGCAGTTGTTCTGCGTCTACCGTGACCAGGAGGCGACGAGCGTTGTCACAGAGTTCGCCAACGGGGGTGACCTCTTCGAGTGGGCCTCCGAGCTGAAGGAGCAGCCCGGTCTGGAGCGCGAGCTGCGCGTCAAGCCCCTGATCAAGCAGATCATGCACGCTGTCCAGTGCCTCCACAATCTGTCCGTCGTCCATGGCGACCTCTCCATGGAAAACGTGCTGCTCAGCACGCGCGAGGGCGCCGACTCCCCACGGGCCCGGCTCATCGACTTCGGGGCCGCAACCGCCCAGCGTTTCGTTGCGCAGCGTGCCACGGGCAAGCCGAGCTACCAGGCGCCTGAGATGTTCGACGACGTGGGTCCCAGGGACGGCTTCCTGTCCGACGCGTTCTCAGTGGGGGTGATGCTGTACGCCATGTGCCTGATGGACTACCCCTGGGTCTCGACGTCTGGGGGTGACAAGTGCTTCGAGTACGTGAAGGCGAAGGGCGTCGCGGCGTTCTTCAAGAAGCGGAGGCCTCCGAGCTGCAGAAGGGCCATTGGCGAAGAAGAAACGACGGCGTAAACGTCAACTTCGGAGTTCCGCGCGGATTTCTTGGATCTGCGCTGGACCCACCTGGCGGCGCCTGCGGCGCCGCCCCTGGCGCGTTCCGCGCGTCAGGGCGGAGGGCCCCCGCGTCGATCGAAGAAATCCGCGCGGAGCTCCACAAGATGATGCTTATACGATGCCGTTGTTTTTCCTTCTGGATCAGCGAGATCGCGTCGCCCGAGCTCTGCTCCCTGCTCGCGGGCCTGCTGGAGCTCGACCCGTCCAAGCGCCTGACGCTGGGCGAGGACGCGTTCGGCCCCCGCCGGGGCTCCGTCTGGGACGAGCCGTGGCTGCGGTGAGAGAGCTCCTGCGCGCGCACTGCCGGGGCCGTGGTCGGCGGCGAGCCCGGGGGGGGGGAAGTGAGAGGGAGTGGGCCTTCTCAGAAGGAGGCGGGGCTTCTCAGAAGCCCTCTGGCCTTCCGAGAAGGTTCCTGCGTCTCCGGGGAGGGGTCAGAACAGTTCTCAGAAGACCTGAGGTCTTCCGAGCCTCCTCGGAAGGCCCGCCCCCTCTCACTTCCCTTCTGGGCTGGCCGCCGACAAAGCCGATCCTCACTCTCAGGAGGCACGGCGAGTAGGCCATCTTTCAGAGGAGGAAGAGATTCCGATGCCACTGCTCGTCCTGGAGAGCCCCCGTCACCACGGCTGGACTCTTCTTGAGAGTCTGGTCAGATTGCACCCCAGGAGAGGAGTACGGTAGGTTCGTGTCGTGTCGACCGGCGGCGACCCCGCCAGCGGCGTTCAACGTTGAACGCCGCGGGCGACCCAGAATCGGTCGATGTGGAACGATTTGGACGTTTCGGAAACGGCCGATCGTTCAAGGTTGAACGATCCCTGCGGCGTCAAATGCCAACGCCGAAGTCGGCACGACACGAAGCTGACGTAGCGGTATCGGTGCATTTTTGCCTTCCAGTGAGAGCTCTTGCGTGCGCATTGTCGTAGCCATTGGCGGTCATCATTCTCATCGGGATCCAGAAAAAAGGTCTTGTCAGCGTTCGGGTCGGCCGAGTCTCTTAAGGTGATGCCTGGGAGGCCCGAGTACTGACCCGACTCATTGCGTCCCTGAGGCGGCAGTTCCGCGGTTGATTGGCCAGGTCAGTGCTCGGGCGGCTCCGGGGGCGCTCACGCAACTCCTTTGGAACCCAGCGCTGACATGGCTGTTTTTTTTCTGTCCCCTATCTCAGGATGGACGGCGAGCAAGCCATCTTCGGGTGCTTCCTGAGTGGCGGCCGAGTGCCAACGATTGGGCGCCCCACCAATTTCAACTCTGGCCTTCTGCCTGCTCTGGCCTCCCTTGTGCCAGTCCGTCCACGCGCAGGGTGTGCGGTATTGACATGGAGGCGTTTAGCTCCAGCCGCACGTCCGTACAGGATGCGCGTTTGCGACGGTGTCTCGCATTCGCAGTGGTATATATTTGCAGATCATGGATCGACCCGAAATCCCTTGAGAACAACCTCACGCACAGCGTTTGGCACGACATCGAAACGACAACGCAAAACGTTGTTTTGACGATCCATGTGGCAATTTGACATTTTTCAACTTTTTTAAGTTAAAGGCATCGGATGCCGTTAGGACGGACATCCATCCAGGCCGTCGGGCCATTCTTATTGTCCCTTGTCCGGCACCGAAACAACGTCGCCTTCTCAGTTCAATTCATTCGAACGCACTGTGGCTGAAGCCTACGTCGTTCTTCTCAAGTGTGCGTCTGTCTGGTATGAACTGTCGAGGCCTTGCCAGCAGTCAAATCGCTAGCCATAGGCTTTGTACAGGCTAGCGAATCACAGACTCTTGCAGGCTATATGCAGGCTTTGTCTTTAGGGTGGCCAGCCAGGGAAATATGTACAACTGCTTGTCTCAGCTTCACCATTCCCAGCGCCTCTGCTACGCCGTGGAGTTTTGGGAGGGGTGGAGAAACAGCTCATTCGTCTGTGGGCGCGGAAGCACTCCTCTTCTGGGGGAAGGCGGGGTTGCAGGGAAAGATTTCTGCGAGAACAGTTGTGGTTGAGACGCTCCTGTATGTCTTGTCGTGAATGCGTGAGTCAATGAGCACGTGGGGGACGAGTGAGGGATGGTGTGAGTCGGCCACATGCAGAGGGGGGTATGGAGAGGGGGACGGCTTCTTAGAAGCTTAAGAGGTTGCTTCTTAGCAGGCGCGGGCCTTGTCTGCTTGTCTGCAGACGCAAGGCCCGCGCCTTCTCATAAGCAGCCTCCTTCTAAGAAGCCTCCCCCCCTTCCCCTGCCCCCTCGTGCGCGCCGCCAAGTGACGGGGGAGATCGAGAGAGCAAGTCAGGACGCGAAGGAGCACTGGGACGGGAGATGCAGGCGCAGGGAGAAGCAGCGAGTGCAAACGCAGAGGAGAAAGGGGGGGGATCCGCAGGCCCAGGGGCTTCACGAGCTCGGTGCGCGAGGGAAGGCGTGGAGGAGGAGGGAGAGGCGGAGAAAGGGGAACGTGGAACCATCTTCTCTTCCGTGTCTCCTCGAGCTTGGCGCTTACTCTCTGCTTTTTGGTAGGTGGTAGGGTCGGCCGCTCGGATTCTTCGGCTTGCTGCGGGTGTGTGTGTGTGTGGGAACGGGGAATGATACCATTGATGAGGCGAGGAGTGGAGTGGAAGAGAATAGCGAGTAGGGGGGCTGAGGAGGAGGGAGGACGGACGCCGATTGGGAGGACGAGCAGGAGCAGCAGGATGACAGGCATGACGAGCAGGAAGGGGTAGTCGGATAATGGCAGGGCCTTTGTGCCTTGTCGTTGCATGGCTGAGGTGCCTGGGCGTCTTCCTGTACGTGCTGCTTGCCGGGCAGTTCCCGTTCAGCCGCATCCCAGAGGACGCGTTGACACGACAATATACGTATGTATATATGTAGATACTAACCAGCGCGGGCCCAAATCAGTAACCTCTTACAGTCTATGCGGTGCAGTTAGTTTTGCCAGCTCATGGGTGACACTCGATGTGTTCTTCCGGACATGTTTTCGAGCATGTCTTGTACTGCTTGTGTTTCTATGTATTCGTGTTTGAAGAGCTTTGTTTTGGAATTCTTTGAACACACTTGGATTTGAAAGGATTTCGACGCGCTCGCGTGGCGGCGCGCGTGTGTGGCCCGCAAGGTACTATTTGATACGGGTTCGTGCAGCTGGGCGCATGCTGGATCAACGCGGATGCTCCGCGCGGTGAGACGAGAAAGGTGGTTCTGGGCGAGATTGCAACACATCCAATTGTTTCCTTATGGTTTCGGCAAATGCGCGCGGGCAGAACATTTGCAAACTGTGCGCTCGAAAGCCCAAGGGTTTGCTCTGTTTCTGCTGAAGTGCGTGACGAACTCGTGCTTTTGCTATGGTTCCGACGTGTGCGCGCGTGTGGAAATTGTGCAGTTTCGCGCAAGGAGTTCTTGCACCATGTTTTTGTTTTTACGATAAGCGAGTGCGCGCGCATAGTGTTATTCGACAGGGGTGAGGGGGGGGAGCGGTGCCCAGCGTGCCTCGGGGCGGTATGAACTCATGTGAAGAATAAACGATGACGCAGATCAAGATGTACTGTGCAGTGCCCTTGCGGTGTCGATACGTCCGGGGGGGTAGAGGGTGGTAGAGTCTGTTCTCTTGAGCGGAGAATCTAGGTGGTACAATAAATGTGGTGAAATCTAGGTGGCGCGATTCATTTTGCCAGCTCTTGAGCTGTTTACTTCACTGCTCGCAGAATCATCCATGTCACCCTCCCACCCGCAAGTCGGTTTGCAAAATCCATGCGGTGGCGACTGCGATGTCTGCTTGGCCATGGCTGGCGCATCTCCGCGGCCGCGCTGACGCGCGCAAGCTCGCGCGCAGAGCGGCCAGTTGGTTTGGCGCAGACGATGCGGCCGCGATGACGCTTACCGATGGGATCTGCCAGCGCGTGTCAAAAGCCGCGCTGGCGCGCGGGCACTTCAATGCGGTCGGTGGCTCGGGCGGGTGCGGTATCTTTATGACGTCGACAACGGCGGCAACGATGATGATAGTAGCGAAGGTGGTGGCGATGATGGTGACGGCGCCGATACTGGTAACGCCGACGAAGACGATGATGATGTCCATATGTATGCGACGAAGGTGTTTGAGTGATGGTGGCGGCGACTGCCGACGCCGGTGGCGTGATGCGGTTGCGTTGGTGGATGCTGTTGGGAGGATGTTGGCGCGCGGAAATCCAAGAACCTTGGTAAACCTCTTGTTGAACATCTATTGGATGCTCATGCGTTGTTGAAGAGCTCTATTCTTGAAGAGGTCAATTTTAAATCCCGTGCGGAATGCGGGTGTTTCGAATTGGTTCGACATGCGCGCGCGGTGGACGCGCGAAGGTGGCCCGCATGGGTTGATTTAGTGAGGATTCGTGCGCTGGGCGCATGCTTGATGAACGCGGATGCACCGCGTGATGAAGTTCGAATGCGGTCTGTGGGCCAGACTGCTAAGCTCGTATGGCTTCCACACCTTTTCAGGAAGTACGCGCGGGCAGACGATTTGCAAGACTCGTATTTGATGGAGCACCTATGGTGTCTCGGGATGCTAAAACCATTGCGACACTGACGTATTTGGTGTGATTTCGGGATGTGCGCGCGAGTGTGGACTGTGTCTTTTGTTCCGCTTGCGCTTGGGGTTTTGGTAACAGTATATGTTGCTATAAGCGCGTGCGCGAGCATGGTATTGTTTGACAGGGCTGGGGGGTGGCGATCAGGTGGTCCCCTGGTGGTCTGAGTTCAGATTGAAAATGGACGATGAGCATAATCATATGCATTTGCAGTGTGTCCCAGGAGTGGGGGTCGATACGTCTGGGGGAGGTGGGGTTGGGGGCAGGGCGGTAGATTCTATTTTTAGAAAGCAGAACTCAGAATATGTTGCAATGTATGTGGTGCAAACCAATGCAAGGGAATGCAACGGAATGCAAGGTAATCCGCAGCAGTGCAAAGCGATACAAAGCGAAGCAAACGAAAGGAAAGGAATGCAACGCAATGCAACGACATAGAAAACGATGCAAATCAACGCGAAGCAATGCAAAGCAATGCATCGCAATGCAAACCAGTGCAAAGGAATGCAAATCAAAGCAATGCAACGCACTGCGACGCAATGCAAAGCAATGCAACGCAATGCAAAGTAATACAAAGCAGAGCAAAGCAATGCAACGCAGTGCAACGCAATCCACAGCAATGCGCAGCAAGGCACAGTAACACCATGCAACGCAATGCAAATCAATGCAAAGGGGTGCAAAGCGATGAACTGAA